TATAAAATTGATTATTAAAATATAGATTTATTTATGCTTATGAATTATCTAACGATTAAAATTATTAAAATTTCTTATAATGTATAAATAGTAAAAACATATCCTGGCAACCTGATTGCGGGCTAAACGAAAAAAAGAAAAGAAAAAAGAAAAAAAAATTTTTTTTTATAATATTTATTAAATTTAATAGATTAAATTAATATTTTGTTACTATAACTGAAATATATATAATTTTTTTTTGGATAAAAATCATCAACATTTAATTACTTAAAACTTTGCAAAACATTATACAGTAAATAAATTTACAAATTTTTATATTGCATATTCATTTTTCATTAAAGAAAAATTTATTTGTATACGTTAAGAGTATTATTCAATTTTTAGTTACAATTGTAATTGTAAAAAAGGATCAAATAGAAAGATTATGATTAATATTGTCGCGTGCAAAATAATCGAATGTATAATAAAATTTATTAGAACAAACAAATATAGATAAATGGGAAATAAGTAAAAATTATAATATTGAAAAAAGACGTGTGGAGTTCATAAAAATGATTCATCAATGAGGGTTCGGGATTCAATTAAATGAACGGATAACATTCCATTATGACTACCTAAACAAATATTGCGAATTTGCTTTTCGGGACTTCTATTGACCAAATAAGGATATTTGTATCATTATAATTAATTATTTCAAACAACAAATGGGAAAACAAGATAGGGATTACGTAAATTTGGGTTAAGTAGCACGAACCGGCTAAACTTCGGTTATGCAAACTTGGATGATGTAAGTTTGAGATACGAGAAGTTCGGATTGGGTAAAATTTAGGAGTTGTGCAAAACTTTTGATTATATAAACTTTTGTTTGCGTGAAGCTTGAATTGTGTAAAACTTTGATTATGCAATTTTAGATTACACGAAATTCACAAACCGAGTGCCAAAGTCACAGTTTGATACATAAATCTGACTATGTAAAACATTAATTCATGAGCTTGGGGTCGATTAGAAATTGCAAGGCACAATTTTGTTCGGCCAGTTTTCAAACCGTATGGTTAACTGTAATTGTTGAGAAGTTGATATTATTTATCAGTGCGAGAATTAGCTCAGTAGTTGTAAATAAGCTCGACAATTCAAAATATCTTTTCCATAATCATTCGCACGTGGACTAACAGTGATTGCACCTGTATATTCTGGTTCTAATATTGTGGAATGCGCGTTATATGGTCGATAGAACGATTCGCACGCGGTCACACTAGAATTGGCGTGTCAAAGGTGTAAGAATAGATTTTTCTTTGGAAGTAAATATAAATTGATCGTCCCATGGTGCAACGTAAATAATAATTAGTGTAGTATTTACAAAAGGTTCACGAAAGAAGTAAAGAAATTCATTTTAGAAATGATATCAAAATGAAATAGATACCAAGCGCCAAGTTGATAATTAACCATTATCCAAGCTAGTATCACAAAAAGCAGTGTTCCATTTGACTTAACACGCGCATAGTACATAGCCTCAAACCGGTAGCGAATTCATTATCGTTTACAATAACGTGATTAAAGATTCGCGCCTGAAACATTGTTATATAAACCCAGGTCTTTCCTTCTATCAAAAAATCGTCATTCCTCTATTCCGTCTTCTACATCCTATTAAACATTTATCCTAGACCATTTCATTCCCTTTACACCTCGAATATCCACCAAAAATGAAGTTCGCATTTGGTCCTTTCTTGATCGCTTTAATCCTTTGCATCGCCGTGGTCTCTTCTTATCCGACTCACAAGAAATGCAAGAAGCTTCACAAGCCAATCTCCATTCACAAGAAACCCGTAGACAATGACGATGACTACGGAAATGGTTACCCCCATGACGGTGATGTTGATCAATGGAAACACGACGATGTTGATCAATGGAAACACGAAGATGTTGACAATGATGATTACTGGAAAGGTCATCCCAAAGACGGTTCCGTCGATGACGATAATGATCATTATCGCAACGAACCTCATTTTAAGCCGAAAAAGAAATGCAAGAAGACTAAACATTATTAAATATTAAAGTAGTCAACAGATAGATTGATCGATCAACCTGTAATAAATAATATTTAATTCTAACATAGCACATTCATTTTTTGTTATTTAAAGCTCTGCTCTGTACACAGATCATTTATTGTCTGATTAAATAGCTCTTCTAAACGTTAATTATAAATGTGTAGGAACAAAACTTGTGAGTCCAAAATTTGCAACAATAAAGCCTACATGAAATAGAAATCGCCTGATTCTATCTTGAATTTGAACACGGTGGTGTTTTTGTTCTATGGAATTTCTTAAATGAATACTAAAGCAGTACGTTCTTCGGTCCTTTTGAATACGTTTTACTACAATCATCAAAGTTTAATGAAAAAGAATACACATATATTGTACATACACTGGTTCGCAAAGTGGTCCAAGTAAATTTAAAGAATTATCGGGATATCGTTAGCGGTCATAATAATCACCAA